TTACTAGTGTGTAAATGTTTTATAAAACTATCATAAGATTTTAACTCTCTAGGTTAGATTTCTAGCAAATGTCTAGTTTGGTATGAAATACTTGTCAAATGCTACCTCTTTCTTCGTGGTTTATCATCTGATATCCATTAATTATAAAACATTGACCTCAAAAAGTGATCAGTGTTTACCAATTCAAAACAAGTAGTTCATTTACTAAATATCGATAATATAACAACATCGAATCAGCACCCACGGATCTCGTAATCAATATTGACCCACCAAAAATTTAAGAGATTAGTATGATCATCAGACAAATCAAGAGCGGCAAATCAACATGACCATACAATATTCCAGCAGAGGCACTGAAAGCAGATGTAGCAGTAACTGCAAAAATACTTCATTGGGAGTAACAGGCGTAAGTTAAAAAGTAACATAACAAACAAACGGATAACATTATGTATAAAAAAATAATGAAAGTCAGTTGAATAAAATCCAAAATGGAGAAAAAGAAAAGATGACATACAAACTAATAATTGGAAATAGTAAAGAGACAGAAAGACGATCGAATATAAAAGTATTATATCATATGATCACAAAGATTAAAATGGATTAAAGATTATCATGGTAAATTTAAGGTTAAAATAAACTGAGTTGTATATATAGAAAAATGCTTTAATTTTCTAATGGCCAGTTTCTCCAACAACAACAACAACAACAAATTGATATTGATACAGTTATATGCCATCATAAAAGGAAAAATGAAAAAAAAATACTGTCTCCACATCACCCAATCAGAATCATTATAAATCCTCTTTATTCAGTTTGATTATTTTGTTGACAAAACATATATATATATTTATATATATATATATATATATATATATATATATATATATATATATATATATATATATATATATATATATATATATATTAGGTAACGGGATCTATTCAATATATAAAATATTCAAAGACAGTATTATGTTGTAAAGTATATTGATCAATCAACATTATCAAATATACTTTAATTATGTATTGAATTACAATGTTGACATGGAATTGAAATGTGGAGATGACTAGGTACGAAGATAGAAATGAGGACTTAACAGAGTGTATGTAAATTCATTGTATACTCCGTAGATAAAATAACAGAATTTCAAAAAAAAGAATTATCACTATAGGGTTGTGGAGATTATGAAGTGTTTGCTTGAGATCACGAACTGATTGATGTTAAACTACCATTGAAAACCTGGAAGCAATAGACGGTCATTTTGTCTTATTGTGTCCTAGTATAGGAACCCTTTAGAAGTGCGCATCCCCGATCCTGCTTCGCGAGATTCGAACACAGAGCCTTCTGTCTCGCGCGCGATCACTTAACCTACTAGACCACTGAGCCGGCATCCAACGTTGTTAATATTTAACTTCAACCAATCGACAAAATTTCATGACCATCTTCCATTGTACTGAAGCAGATACCTGTCTCTACCCGACACGGATTAGCTCCGCTGGTAACGGCTTCTCACTAGAACTCCGAGAATTGCCTCACTAAGCTAGTCACTAATGAGCACATGGTAATTATCATCATAGGGTTGTGGAGATTATTAAGTAGTTGATTAAGACCATGAACCGATTAATGTTAGACAGCCATCAAAAACCTGGAAGCACTGGACGGCCGTTACGTCCTATTGTGAGACTCTTCAACCTTGCTCATTCACTCAGGACCTACCGATCTCGTGCGCGAAACGCCTAACCTCTAAACCATTGAGACGACATTCAACAGTGCTAATGTCTCATGAATTCAACTATAAAATTACTAAAATCACAAAACACCTAGTGATAATGAAGATGATTACTTAAAACTCAAGATTTTATGCAGGTTAGTGTAAAACACTAGTAATTTTCTGATTACATCAGCTGATCTCATATAGGAATTTATCCCGAAAATTTCATTACAGACTTTTGTAAATAAATAAAATCTATGTGAGAAATGTTTGGTTTACTATGAAAGCTGGGAAGTAAGGATATTTTCGGAAACCAAAGATTTTTCTTAGGTGCATTAAATTTTTCATATTAATTAGCTTCTGAATTTTTAGTTTATTCTAATAACTTCTTATCAGTATAGATATATAGATGCATCGGTGAAATCATTTATAATAATCAAGTGTTCATTCGTATGTTATATGTTTGAATAGATTACGGGATCACTGGAATCGAGAATGGAACGAAAGATCAGCGACACAATGAGGAAAAAGCTAAACTATTCGAATGAGCACCAGTCCTATTAACTACAGAGTGAAGTCCAGGTTCAGGTAAAGGAAAGTGTATTTAGGAGACAGCAGAAAGCACGACAGAACTCAAGCGTATATATATATATATATATATATATATATATATATATATATATATATATATATATATATACAACATAAAAATGTCCTTGAGAAACTTCATAAAATAGAATACTAAAAGGTCAAACGTGTAGTGTCGGTTATTATGTTAAGCCCATATATCTTATTCTAGCTTTCGGACAGCCCAATTTACTCATTCTACTTGAGTCACATTCTGAACTTGTTAATTATTCGCTTATCAATCTTCACTGTTTATATATGAGCGTGTAGGTGTGTGTCCACTTCTTATCCCATTACTTATCACATTCCTGTAACTTAATGTTTTGTAACTATCAATATTGATTAACGCTTAAATAAATGGAGTTGGCTTATCCGCCATCTCTGTTGCGCGTCGTTTTGCTTCGCTCTATTTCATTCGCTTCATATACAAAATATATGTATTCAAAAGTCCATTCTCGTTATTTGACTTAGTTAATTTCATTATTGATTAACGCGATTTAAGTTGATGACTATATACAAGGATAGGCGACATATACAATTCAATAACAATCATTCATGCGATCTACTTAGAGTCAAATCTCGGGCCACCAAAGTGGATAGTCCGTCAACAAACATCGGCGATCTAAATGACGACAAAATAAAGGGCCACACAAAAAACGAACCAATTACTTTTAGGGTCTTTTCAAAAGGAAAATGCAATCTGAAAATAAAAATAGACGCGAGGACAAGAAATTCAAATTTCCAAAAATAAAATTACAAAAACAAAACGCTTACCAAGAGAGTTTCAAGTATCTAACACCCCCAACAGTATGATATTCATTAAGCACACAAATATACGATTTAGGTAGTTCGTGAAGCATTATTACATAATGTTTTTTAGACCAAGGAAAATGAAATCGACATTTTAAAACAGTCCTAATATTTAGGATAACTGTGAAATAAACTCTGTTTCTGTCCTTTGGTCAATGTTGAATAGGACTGAATTCGCCAAAATTTACTAACCCGGTAAATCATTGATAATAATTGACTTATATTGGCTATATGACTAGTGTGATCTAGATTAGATAGCACTGAGTTGTTTACTAACCTGATAACACTTTTATTTAGCCACACTGATAGGCGTTTATGCGCATAACAACGTAAATTCCTAGTAATTTAAATAATATAACATGCTCCACAATCTCAGCCGAACTTATAAATACAAAATAGGATAGAAACTTTAGGTAATTCATGTTTTAAACTCAGTATCCTAGTTGGATGCGTAGAATAAAGTGTAAAGAACACTCGATATATATTAACATTTAATACTTGTAGTAAAATTTAGAAAGATTTATAAAATTCATTAAAACTAACACACAACTAATTATTCCCAACTTTAAATATTCTCAACAGTGCGCGTCCAAGATCCCGATTCAATCAATCCAGGAAGTTAATTATTAACACTGTTGGATATCGGCTCAATGGTCCACAAGTTAGGTGTTCGCGCATAGGACCGAGGATCCTGGATTCGATTACCGCGTGTGGAATAGTGAACGCGCATTGCCTGAATAGTCGCATACTAGGACGAAATGGTCATTCAGTTATTCCAGGTTATCTCATGGTGGTCTAGCTTTGATCAACTCATCGATTTCACCATTAAATCTCCACAAAACCCCCTTCATGTTAAAATATCCTGTTTATTTTTCTTTGTTTTTTCCAATACATTATAAATCAAAAGATTAAACAAGAAGAAAGGGACACAAAAATGAAATATCATTCTCCTCTTGTTTTTTTTCTATTGTTCCATTTTGAGATCTTATATCAAGCATAAATTTTATTTTACATTCTCTATCCATTTGTTGAATAATATTTTTCAGTAATTTGATAATTGAATTCATAAATCGATTAAAACTAGACAATCATGAAAAATCTTGAATCATTGAACATTCATTTCGTCTTAGTATGGAGATAATGATCAGTAAACATCCACGATTTGAATCCATGACCTATGAGTCCTTCGCGTAAGCACTTCACCACTAGACCATCAAGCTGGTCGTTATCTAACGATATTGATGTTTAACTTCAACCAATCCACAAATTATCTTCACCATTCTCTTCAGTAAATTACTATATTATAATAGGCTTGAAATCATTTTCTTACAAATAGTAATAATAATAATTTGATTAAGATCATGAACTGATTGATGTTAGACCACCATTGAAAACCTGGAAGCACTGAATGACCGTTTCGTCGTATTGTAGGATTCCTCAGCAGTGCGCATCCACGATCCCGCTCACGGGACTCGAACCCGAAGCCTTCAGTCTCGCGCTCGAACTCTTAATCTACTACACCACTTGGCCAGTATCCATTGGTGTTAATGTCTAACCTCAACCAGTCACGTAACTTCGTAAATGCTTTCAAGTTCTCAATGGTGGTATAACAGCAATAGATTCATGATCTCAATCAAAAACTTAACATTCTCCACAATCCCTCAACGAATAATGATAATGATAATAATAATAATGTTTCGACAATTTTTCAACCAATCAAATAACAAGAATATTTCAACCAATAAAAAATGACTTTGTTTTTTTCTTTTTTTCATTAAACATATATATACAAACTATTAGAAAACTTATATAATGATTATTTATTTGTTTTTCTTTTACTTTGTTTTTCTCCTTGTGGATAATTCTTTTATTTTCAAGAAAACAATTTAAAAAAAGAAAAAGAAATAAAATAAACAAAAAATCAATCTATCTATCTATATATACTACTTATATAAGTAATGTGTGATACATCAACTGGATGTTATACAGGATTATATAAATATCTTAATTATTCAACACAATTAAATAGTACAATACGTGAAGAATTATTACGTATTTATTGGGAAGAAATAAATGAATTAAAAAATCAATCAGAAATACCAATTTTATTATTAATTATAATTGTAATTATATTTTTAATTATGATATTATTTGGTATATTTGGTAGTAGTTTAGTTATATTTATTATATTACATAATCGTTCAATGCGTACACGTGGTAATTTATTTATATTAAATTTAGCTATATCTGATTTAACATTATGTTTAATTACACAACCATTTAATTTATTACGTTTACTAACTAATAATTATAATTGGATATTAGGACAATTTATGTGTAAATTTTCTGCTATGTTTCAAGGTACTAATATATTTGTATCAACATTTAGTATAACAGCTATTGCAATTGATAGATTTCAAGTAAGTTATTGTTTTTCTTTTTGTATCTATAGGGTTAAGTAAACATTCATTTTCTTTTCTTAGTAACATTGAAATTTATATCATAGAAACTAAATAATTCATCTTTTTTCTCTTGTATTGATTATTTGAAACTTTTTATTGATATTTAGGATTGAAATTGATCGGTCACTTATTGGTATATATGTATACTCTGTGTATTGTCTCGATATAGCCATATGCACAGTAAACACATATCCCAACAAGAGACTGATCAATTGCAATGTTAAACATCAATGAGAAAATTCAAGTAAACAATAAAAAGTGAATATCTATAACATTAATTCAAGATAATAATATAAGCTACCAAAGGTAATAATTTACGTTTGATTGATATAACGAACATTTAATATCATGTAATGAATCCAGTTAAACAGTTAGAAAACGGCTTTTTAGTCCTACTCCGAAATGGATAAATAATTCACCCTTTAAATTCTTTCTAGGGTGATTGTGAACAATAGTCTTCTCTTCGGCTCGACTAGTTTCAGTGCATAACAAGGAATGTCTTCCTTTTTTTCAAAATAAATGTGGATATGAAATTGTAATGAATCAAGATTTAAATATATATTTAGCTACGAAATCGTGTTTTAGATTTAATTAACATATTGCAAATAAGATGAATGTATTTTCAGTTGGTCCTAGTAAAGGAATATGAAATGAGCAGTGTTATATCCTGATGAGAATAATGATTGGTAACTGTTAGGATCTTTTTATGGACTACTTCTATACATGTATTTTTATTATATAAATGTTAAGTTACTAAAAATATTCATATTCATGTTCCTCTTATCATAAGCTTTACTTTGACCTATGAACTATTATTATACGATTTACCATTCTTGAGTTATGCCATGTCTATCAATTACTGTCTCCCTTATTTACAATCACATTTGGCTAAAACTTGTACAAATATTGTTTCCTATTTTATGGTTCGATGTGGTCTTTTTGGTTGGCATATAAACTCAGTATGTTTGAAATACATGTTTCATATCACAAAGGCTGTGAATGGCGTTGTGGACTTAACAGGCAGGGCTAGAAAGGAAGAAATACCGATAACGATTCTAGACAACTTATACAACTGTATGTGTCATTGGTCCAGTCGATAAGTTACTGTTCTCTAATTGGCGGTATCTTTACGTTATACAGTAACAGGTCACAAGGCCCACAAGTTATAACAAGCAGTTCGTCCAATTCATGCTTGATTTCACGATTTATTATGTTATCCATTTAGATAATAATGCAAAATACCATCAACCTGTTCAATGAACAATAATTTAATAAATAGTCGTATATTCTTGTCTACAGTATTAAATTGTATCACTTACAGTCAATTAACAATTTCCATTACAAAAGTGATTATTCTTCTTGTATCCTACCGGTAATTAATGAATCCCGACACAATCAACACATAACAACCGAGTTTATTTTGTTACCTGATGATTAATCATCAAGGATAACCCATGATATCATTCGTAATATAAAGATATTTTAAGGTATCCAATCAGTAATCTTTGTTAAACTGACATTTATATAGTTATTCATTATGAATATCATGGTTCTATAGAAGATCAGTCGTAGCTTTAATAATTCACTAGAAATATCTCTAAATATAACATTTACTGATATATGTATGAATCTTACAAGAAATATTTGCCTCCTAAACGATTGTAAATATGTTTTGTTAACTAACTGTTAACCACTATCAATCTTTGCTTAGAATGCTTGTGAATGAAGTCAATATCGAGGAAATCCGTACAGGATGTATATAGGTGATAAGAGACTGATCAATTGCAGTGCTAAATATCAATGGGATGATTCAAGTAAACAATATCAACTGAATTTAAGCTTGAACACATTGCATAAGCAAGTAGCTATCTGAACTCAGTAGCTAAGTGGATAATGTGATGGCGTTTGAAGTGAACGATACTGAGTTCGAGTTCCATAGTGAACATCAACTCTACGATGCATGTACATTCAGCTAGAGAGTTCGAAATAGGACGAAACGCGTGTACTGGATTCCACTGCTAGCCATTATCCATAATTATATATAAACACTTCCTATTTTTGTATTGATTGTTTGAATATTTTTATTGATGCTTAGAATTGAAATTGATTAGTCCTTTTTTGTTGCTGGTATATGTGTACCTTGTGAAGATTGTTTCGATATTGTTTTAAATCTTAAGGATTATAAGCAGACATAAATCATGACTAATAATAAAATCCAGGGCGAGCATTTTGTCTAATTTTGGACACATTATCTAGATTTACTTGTATCTCAGAATTCAGTTTCACTATAAGACTCGAACACAATGATTATTGTTTGAGTTGTTTATACCGGTTTGTAGATACTGTTCAAATATAGCAAAAAGAAATAAATAATATACAAAATACAAATAGTCCCTTTATGAATACAAGCAATATATGCTTGACAATTTTTTAAAAATAAAACGAATCTATCTTATTTCATCGCATTGTATTTCCGGTACTTGAATCACTTATGTTGTATCTATAACTTCAGTAGTCGAACGCTTGGAAACTCCAAGTCGCAAGATAGAAAACAGAAGACTAGTCAAAAAGTATCTTATTCCAAACAGTTTCAAGTGTAGTACAGAACATTCAAGTTTTTATAGTTCATAATAAAAAATAAAATAATCAATACAGTCATCTAATCTGCATGCAATGATATTTAATATTTATCCAATCAGGAAACTAAACATCAAGATTTTAGAATATTGTTCCAAAAAAGTGATTGGATGGAATATCTTCGTCTCTTCCTGAGTTTCTTAAAGCTAGCTCGTATTCAACAAAGGCAGTCCCTACAAATTTAAACTATAAGGATGGCCCAATAAATAACAATACACTATTTAAGTAGTAATGTTGTTAACGATTAAAATTTTAACAAATATCTTATAATTAATATAATGATCAGTAAGATAACTGTTATTGAATAATTCATTACATTATGTAGTAAAGTTATATTCTTCATGATTGAAATATAATCAATTACATTTTTGCCGAAAATAACTCCGGTACAATAATTACTTATCTATAATTTATGAAAACTCTGTCTTCTAATCTACTTGTTAAACTTTGATAGGAAAAATATTCTATTGTTATTTTTTTCAAATTGAATTATTCGTGTATATATATATATATATATATATATATATATATATATATATATAGAAGAGTAGAGCATAACTTAATGATGAGGAAAATTTGTAATTCAAGTGGATGACTTTGATTCAGTTTTGTTCACTGAGCTGGATGGTTTGTTCGCGGAGCTTTCATTGTTCTTTTGAACGACATCATCAACACAAACTTCAGATAGAAGTGAAGTTTTCGAATTACTCCACACATGATCCACAGCTTGTCTTGTAGACATTGATGTTGATTGATTCTTGTTGATCTTAAACCTGTTATTGTTCACTTCTTTGTTTTGGTTGTATCTCCCAATGACAGATTAGAGGTCAATCATAACCACTCAAGGCCGAGGTCTATAAAACAACACTTCACTTCTACCTGAAGCTTGTGTGGATGATGTCGTTCAGAAGAACGATGAAAGCTCCACGACCAAATCATTTAGCGCAGAGAGCGAAACTCCCTTAAACTTCCAACTTAATAGAATGATATTAATATATCTTAATAACACTGTAGTTTGTGCTCCGTTTAAGTTATAAATTTTCGTCAAAAAAAACAAAATAATTATACAAGTTTAAACTATTGAAGATTCACTTTAGAAATTCAAGTCACACAATACATTACTTGAATAGTTGGCAAATAATCTATTATGGATAAATATGTTCATATTCAATTTTTACCCTGAAATTTAGTGATATTATGAATCACATGATTCGTATTATTTACAGTCATACTTATTCTGGTTAGCACCTTTTATCTAACAAAGTTGTTTTTTGCAGGATGAAGATGCTAACCACATGTCCAACCTTTCTCATTTACCCGATCTTGGGATCGGTCATTAACTCCAGAAGTGTTATAGGAGGAGTTATTTACTATCATAAACTGTCGAAATTTGTGAAATTATAGATAATTATTAATAAAATTTTGATTGTCTGATAAACATTAGTTTGTCTGTGATATAACAGAATGAAAAGGCAAAATGACATCTTTTTACTTATCATGATATATGTTCAACATTGCTTCCATTTTAATTCAATATGGCAATTACTCAGCATAGTACTTGTTTTGTTTTCCCTTATGGTATTTTACTACATATAACATATGATATTCTTGTATTCATTTAACATAGACTATGCTCAACATGATATGTAGTATGTAATTTGTTATAAATATGGGCATTTTTCATTTAAATGAGTTTATAATCAATATATAACTGAGTGTAGTTTCGACCAAGGTCTTCATCGTCTTTGTCATCGTTGTTGTTGTGTTTGGCGTTTAATAAATCTCTCAGTTGTATCAGTTTTAGTGTTCTTACATTGGATCATGGGAATTAAATTGATGATTAATTGTCAATAAAATGTACTTGTAAAATTAAGTAAGTACTAAACCTTGTACGTTGAGCTATTGACAGATTCTCTTTATATGTTCTTCATATCTTTGATTAAGCGGAAAAACATAAAGGATCTCAGAATATTCTACAAAGAATGCTATGTTTATTTCCTTCTAATAAAGTTATGTCTGCCTACGCTACCTATGTTTTAAGTAAAGTTTGGTACATCTCTCTTTTCTTAACTGTTTATGTTGCATTTATTCTTCAACTCTATGATAGTTTAATTCATTATGTTTATGGAATATTATTTTTTATGAAGTGATCTTCATGACTTCACCTAGCTAGATCTTTCACAATATAAATATACATCAGTTAAAATGTCTTGATCATATTCTACCTTATAAAATCCATTTGAACTTCATTGACATAGGTTGATGAACCCTTCACTGGAAACAATGGCATATATATTTCATAGAAGAGATGTTTTATGGCT